ATTATTATCTGGAATTAAAATGTGAGTGGAAGGCAATTATATGTTTTCTATTATTAACCCCTCTCCCTAACAAAAGAACAGGTAAAAAGTTTAAGACAGAGAAAGGGCCTGTGATAGGAACGTGGCAGTACTTGTAAAGACAACCAAGCCAGGTCTGGGGTAGAAACTGTCAGCTCTCCACCCACAAGGCAGAGTGGCACTGTGGGGCTTCTCTTTGAGGGGTGTCTCCTGTACCATTTTCACAGTGACTGTGACAAAGAAACTCACCGACTGATAACACAGATTACGTCTGTGTTAATCCAGCACACCGGAGCGGTGTGCTAGGCAGAGCACTAAGCCTGGCCCTGAATTAGGCAGAGACAGAGAAGGGAACAATGGCCTGATTGTGGAAAGTCTTAAGTCTGCGTGGGCGAGAACTGGCCTCTGTCACACTTCTGTTGTGGGTGTATGTAGTTGTTACCCCCGAAAAACACTAACTGTTCATAACCAAGAAGGAGGACTTCTAGGCACACTGGATGCCTGGCTTGCCAGAAAGAGCTTTTTTTCAGGGCACACTCAGAAGCACCAAGACTTGCTGTTATACAAGGGCATTTCAGCAGGCTTCAAAATTGGTCTTAGATTTCATTAAACAAACCCACTGCCACAGAGCACAGACACTGATCCCCATCTTGCAGCTGTACAGAGGGAGACTAACCCAAACATTTAATCCAAGTCTAGCCTCTCGACTTTGTGGGACGATGATCCTGCTGACGGATTGGATAAGCTGTCCATCTGCTAACTCTGAAGCTCTGTCCCAGTGCCAGTGAGGGTTTTGTACTTAAACTGTCTTTTAGTTTCTTGTTCACTCATGTTTGCAAAGTAATTCTCCAGAATGTGCAGTCTCTGGCCATGTTTGTTCCGCATGCAGTATTATTTGCCCCATAAGAGAAATAAACTCATGACTTCTTTGGCTGTGCTAATACTAATAGCATTTCCTTAACTTCATCCATCCCTGTTCTACCTTCACAATTTTTGTCATCCTGGTAGAGCACCTGTGTTCTTTATTATTTACCTCACTCTTTCAAATCAACTTTGTTGAGTAAGATTTATTTTTAAGTCACTAACATGAATAGAAAGCCATTATCATCACCAGATATAAAAGATAAATACAACAATCAATACAATATAGTGCTATTAAGTTTTACAGAAAGCAACCTAAAGGGAGTAAAACATTTTTTAAATAAAAAGGAAAGAGGATAACTTCCTCGCTCTGATTCAATATTAAAAACTGCTGTTTTGCAGTACCACTTAAAATCTTCTCTAGCAGTGCTGGTGGCGTATGCCCTACGCTTTGGGGGAAAAAATACTGAACTAAACAGATAATGATACAGTACTGTGATGTAAGTCAAATTACAGCATAGACTATAAAATTCAAATTACGAACCCTCTGGGCAGGACTCATGATGCACTAAGAAAGTCCACCCTACACTTGTGGACAGCGAGATAGTACTCTGGGGTAGTACCTCTTCTCACGTATCCAGAAAGCATTTGTCTCCAAGAGCTAAGAATCGGTGAGCAGAGAAAACAGACAAAAAGTCCGGGCATGAAAGCGGATGCGCTTCACCACAGAAAACCGCGTCAGACCTTAACTTGAAGCCTATAGTATTATCTCCCTCCCTTGAGCAGGGAACATTAGGAAACGTCTAATTTTGCTCCTGGAATCAAAGCTGACTTGAACTTCAGTCAGCTCTAGCCTCTTATCCTTTAGCCAGGAATATCCTGGAGGTTTCCCACCTTCCACATGGGCAGGTGCGGGACCAAGAGAAACAGCGAATCTGGGCTCAAAGCCACAGGAAGCTGCTGAGGGGCTGTTAGGAGCGGGCTTGGGGGTGGGGACGGCTAAGATCTCCTCATCAGTGTGTTTGGCATCCCTGGGGAGCTTCCTAGCAATGCAGCATCTCCAGACCCACCCCAGACCTACTGCATCAAAATCTACATTTTAACAAAATCCAATGGTAATTCATGGCACGGTCAAGTTTGACAAGCACTGATCCAAAAGGGCTTGAGTGGTCTGACACCAACATCTCGTTGGCCTCCCTCCTCTATGGGCAAGTGACACTTTCTGGAAAATCAGGAACTGAGGAAGGCAACAAAGGTCCTACCATGACAGTGGCCAGTGCTGGCCGTGGCCCTGCTACAACCCAGGGACTGGGCAGCAAAAGCCTCTGATCACGGAGAGGGCCTTCTCCGCTGGGGCTACAGAAGACGCACGGGGCTCCAGACATGAGCCCCAAACCCTTACAAACACCTGCATCCACGCAAAGTGCGGGTCCTCCCACTGCCTCTCAGGCTGCAGACTCTGTAACCTGGATTCACCTACTCAGCTGCCTAGGAAACTCACATTAATGGGATTTTATGGGCCAGAAGAATGAGAGAGGAGACATAGGGAGATTTGCCTGACCTGGAAACAGCTCCAGACCCACGTTCCTGTTGGTTATAGTAAAACCATGACCTTGTTCTGCTCTGTCATCTGTGCAGTTTTTTCACAACCACAAAGAAAGGCCCCTCCACCACCACCAGCCCATTCCCACCACACACACGCGCCAGAGCAAGGCTTTGCCAATAGGCGAAGGGGGAGTTTAACTCCCCCAGCATTTCTACAAGAGCCTGATTAAAAAGGGAGCAGATCTGCGGGATCCATCACAAAAGTCCAACACCTGCAGAAGGAGAGGCTGAAAATGAGGCGGGGAGAAAAGGAGGGTAGGCATCCCAGGGAGATAAAACACTGTGTGACCTGACACGACTACAGTGAAAGCTCACCTCCTCTTATCAACATGCTGGAAGGTATAAATGGACATGTGGAAAGAGGCATGTAGCCCTTCTTTCTTCCTCTGAATATTTGAAAAGACACAGCTGATGTTGAATCTGGTAAAACTGGCCGCTGACAATGCTGGATTCCCACAGAGCATCTCTTCCCATCAGAGTCAATAATAGGACTGCAACCTTCAAGCTTTACGCGTTCTCTGCTCCCAGAAAATTAAAGCCAATACTTCTCCTCTTTCTCAAGTATTTCTGGACCCCTGCTTCTCTTCCTTCCTAATGCCAATTTCAAAATGACTATTTGATTTCTTGGGACTGTGTGATTTCAGCGACCATTTTTCAAAGTCACTGCTTCCTTGCAGAGTTCATAGCCAGCCAGTCTTTACAACTGAGATCATCGCTAAGACAAGAGAGAGCAGTTTCAATCACATACGCCTTTGGTAAGGGAGACGCAGGACAGCCTTAGAGGCAAGGCTGGCCTCAGAGGTCCGCCCCCTGCCAACCTGCAGTGTGAGGGGACGCTGCCCATCAACAACTTCTGCAATGAGGGCAGGGCCGCGCTCTGTACTGCTTGCCACCCCTGTACCAGGGTAGCCAATACCTAGAGTGCCCAGTGACCGGCAGCTATGGCTTACGGTTGGCTTAAAAAGATGAGTTGGGTCAACCAGGCCTCATTTAGAAATGGCAGCCAGATGCCACAGCAAGGGCAGAGGCCCAGAAGTGCATGGTGAGAAACCACAACAAACCAGGTCTGCAGAGGCCAGTTCCAAAGAACAGAGCACCCATAAACAGAAGAGAGAGGCCAAGAAACCACTAAAATGGTGTCAGATGTGGACCCCGGGGCAATGCTTTTAGCAAGTCAGCTCCACCCCACACCCCATCCTTACCATCAAATCCCTTTTACTTTAGCAGAGCTGACCCCCCCCTGCAACCAAGTAAGCCATTGTAAACAAGCCTCCCAAACTAATTTTTTTCACTCTTTCTAGTACCTGCAAGGGAAGAAATAATTCTCATGACAAATAAGGGTAGACGCTATATCAAGAGCATATGGCTTGGCCTAAAGACAGTTTCCAATGGATGGGATCTGAGAGGTGGTAGCAATTTAAAAAGTGGAGGGTAAAATCATTCTTTCTTCACCATGTTTTCAATCAAGTACTGATTATTATTGCTGCCTTATAACAATGACCCACAGGAAAATACTATTATCCGGGCCTTGGGGTTTCTGCAGAGGACATCAGATTGAAAGAGCCAGACCTGAGGGTCACTGAGAAGGAACCTACAGATTTTTGTAGGAAAGCAAAACAAAACACAATGCTGGTGTGTAATACGAGAGACAGAAAAGGATTATCATTTTTATAAACAATACATTACATATGGGCTTATCCTCAGGACATTAAACCAGAGTTCTTGCAAGGACTGAATTCCATCACTAAAGACAGGACCCCTGGGAGCTGCCACTTTAACTTGAAGTAATTAATCAAACATGCTCCAACAAGCCATGGGACCAGTCTGCCCGGGGAATGCTCTAAGGGCTATAAAACCCAAGGTAAAACCAGGGTACCCATTTAAAAGTGAAAGGTTAAACAGGATATAAACATCCTACTAGGGCGTTCACTTAAAAGCAAGCAACATTACAGTGAAATCTGAAAATCAAAATAAACTCACAAATATGCCACACAAATAATTCAAGTGGGCAGACCTACCCGGGGCCTAATCAGAACTGAATGAAACTGACAGAAACATCTGGACGGCAAGCAGGTCTGTTCACTGCAGCAGGGAGACAGATTCTCAGGGGAGCAGCCCAGGCAACCAGGCCATAGCCAGGAGAAACCAACCCTTCCCTAGGGCGCTTTCCCCGCCACAGCAGTCCCCCGAGATCTGGACAAATGACCATACTAGTAGCCCTCAATGTCACCTCCAATCAAACGTGGGGGCAAGCTGCGGATTTGCCAGTCCGCAGCTCCACCGCTGTGAATCAGACTGAACCAACTTTGAGAAAGTTATCGCCTAAAAACTGTCATGACATTTTGGGTAAATACATATGAGGTGACTAAAGTATTCAATAACGGCATTAATTTCATCCCAAAACATATACATAGCTTTCCTCCAAGAACATTTATCCAGCCATATTTACTAAAAATTGTAAGCACAAGCATCAGAAGAGACAAATGAACAATTCAAGTGGAATCATTTTTTCTTACCATTTCGGGACACATCAAGTTCCACCAGCTGCATGAAGTTTGCTATTTCTGGAGGGAGCCGCTGAATTTCGTTATCGCTAAGTCCAAGCTTTCGTAACTTGACTAGCTGGAAAAATTGCTGAAAGACAAAATAGTTTCACGTAGGTCTCACATCTATTTGCAGTGTAAACTTTCTGCCCAATATGAAATTTAAAAACAATATGTCTTTTAAAGATTAGTGACGATTGCACCAATGTCAATTTCCTGATTTTGATATTGTACCAAAGTCATGTGGCGATGTCACCAACAGGGTAAACTGGGTACACAGGCCATCTCTGTGTACCATCTACAATTATTTCAAACTTAAAATTTTTTAACAATGAATAAGTAACTCAATGAGAATAGTAATGACTCCTTTATATTATCCAGTAGGTGGTCACATTTTCTACTTATGGAACCTGATATGAAATCTGCAATGTTAAATATATTTGAAAATTAGAGTAAAATGTTTCTTAAACATTTTTAAAAGAAATTACTGTGCATTAGAAAATATATAAATATCCCACAAATGTGTGGAGGAGAAAAAAATTATTTTTGGCCAATCTAAAAAAGAGCCTGCACTGGATCCTTCCATTAACCACGGCACACAGAGGTGCCTTTTGCGCCACACCCTTTCAAAGCTGTACTAAAATAGCATTAAAGGAATTTATAGGGAGATGGATATAGATATAAAAATATGAAATAAAGGCATGAAGACAATTCAAGATGAGAGGGAACGAGAAGCAAACTAGACATGCAACAAAATCCTTGAAGCTAGAAAACAGATAAATTAAAGACAGCTAACGAAAGAATTGATACAAAGCTGAAATTTAAGCCTATGGAGTGAGTAGCCAATAGCAGATTAGGTCCAGGTACCTCTGAAGGAAGGAGAACTGTCTGAAAATGGATATAAAGACAGGCCCCCATAAGCCCTCCTCTCCCCTGCACAACCAGGCAGGGGACTGGAAATTTCCCCCAGAAGAGCTGACTGTAAGCACAGCTAAGGGCAGGGGTGAGGCACCCAACTGGAAACAGGGGGAGGGGGTCAGAGCCTGCTCACTGAGATCCACCCCCTTCTCCCTGCAGCCAGGCTCCCAGCGGGGGAAACAGACAGACTTACAGACACAGATTATACAATAGGGAAGCCCCAGGTTACAAGCCCCACCCATGCACTCAGAGCTTCAACTCTCTCCTTTTTTACTTCAAGTGCCTGGATCTCATTTAAACAGAGCCAAGGTTCTCCAGACACTTGAGGAAAGCCCTTTACATGCAAGAGAGTGGGCACCCACACACATCTCAGAAGAAACAAATGTGATGTAGGGAGCAGGAAAAAATTCACCAACCAAAAAAAATATAATTAATACCCACAGAGAAATAAGAGGAAGTGAAGCAGCATGATGCCATAAAAGGCAAGCTTCAAAGAATAAACTCTCAGAAATTAAAAACTAGTGCAGCATCAATATAAGAATCCAATAAAAGAGATGAAAAATAAAGTTAACAGAAATCCCTCAGAAAGTAGAAAAGAAAGACAATGAGGTGGAGAAACGGGACAGAAAAAAATAGGAAAATTAGAGGATCAGTCCTCAAGGTACTATATCCAATGAATGGGTATTCCAAAGAGAAAGAAAACACAGGGACTACAGAGCATGAGTTTCTAGTCTGAAAGGGCCCAACACGTGGACAATAAAATGAATGACACAAAACACATAGGGATACCAAGGAATATTATAAAAGTTCACAACTCCAGAAATAAGATGATTCTAAAAGCTTCCAGAGACCAAGGGGTTGGGGGGGTAAGGGAGGTCATAACAAAGGACTGGGAGTCAGAATGGTGCTGGACTCAACAGCAACCTTGAAAGTAAGAAGGCAATGGAGCAATGCCTCCAAAACTCCAAGAAAACATTATTCCCAGCCTGAAATCACATACCCAGCCAAACCATCAGTCAGGTATGTGACAGAACAAAGACATTCTCAGACACGCACGGTCTCAAAAAATTTATCTTCCTTGGACCTTTCTCAAGAATCCATCGAGGGACTTCCCTGGTGGCACAGTGGTTAAGAATCTGCCTGCCAACGCAGGGGACACGGGTTCGAGCCCTGGTCCGGGAAGATCCCACATGCCGCGGGGCAACTAAGCCCGTGTGCCACAACTACTGAGCCTGCGCTCTAGAGCCCGCAAGCCACAACTACTGAGCCCACGCACCACAACTACTGAAGCCTGTGCGCCTAGAGCCCATGCCCTGCAGCAAGAGAAGCCGCCACAATGAGAAGTCCGCACACCACAGCAAAGAGTAGCCCTCACTCGCTGCAACTAGAGAAAGCCCACGCGCAGCAATGAAGACCCAATGCAGCCAAAAATAAATAAATAAAATAAACAAATTCATTAAAAAAAAAAAAAAAACAGAATCCATCGAATTGTGGTAGTATTGGGTTGGCCAAAAAGTTCATTTGGTTAGTGACTATGCTGTTCAATAAAATTCTTGGTGAAAATGAAAAACGTGTCTCTTATTTTCACTTAAAACCGAATGAATTTTTTGGTCAACCCAATAAATCTAAAAGGAGGAAGATCTGAGATCCAGAAATCAGAGAATCAACAAAACAGAGACAAAGGACAAAACAGTGAAGGAATTCCAAGATGGCAACCGAGGAGCAGGTCCCAAGAGCAACCTGTCTACACTGAAGAAAATATGAGGGCTCCCATAAAAAAAATTAAAAATAAAAACACATGTGAGGAGTTATCTGACATGTTTTGGAAGTATCAGGAAGGTTTATTTGGTGACAAATTAGAAACTGAAACAGAGAAAACAAAGCAAGCAAAAAAGGAGGGAGTTATTAATTCCAGAAAAAATACAGAGTAAAAGAAGATATAGTCATAATATAAATATAAAATTTGGTTATGAACAATACTTATACAGTCATAATATTTTAATATTTATATACTGTCAAAAACAAAATTTATATTATGTCAATACTGAGAGGATGGGAAAGAAACTGCAAGTGCTAAAGACTCATCTTCCATAGAAGGAAATCAATAAATAACTAAAAAGTGTGTGTTGGCGGGGGGGGGTGGGAATCAAACAGTAAAATCAAGCCATTTAGCAATGTGGAAGCTAATGTCAATAGAAATATCCCAGAGCTGGGGGTTCGCAAAAGCCAGAAATTGGAGTGGGAGAGGGGGAGGGCAAAAGGCTTATTGGATTTTTAAAACATTATTTGCATATATTACCTTGCTAAAAATAGAAATTGAATTTACAAAGGAAAAAGTTTCTACTAAGATGACAGGGTGCTCCAAACGATAGTTGCAAAGGATGGTAACATTTAATAAGCTTCATCATTTCTTTTCCTTTGGTAAAAGGGATTGTAACTTATACAATCAAAAAGAAGGCATCATCTTTGACAACCAGTTGGGCAATACACAAAACGTAAAAAGTTTTCAAGTCCACTGACATCATAACAATACTTTTGGGCATCTATTCTCCTAACATAATTGAAAATAAGAAAAACCAGCTACGGTGCACAATATGTCTTTGCATTCTTATCACTACAAATGAAAAGCATGTCAAATAAGGGAAATGATTAGCATGTTATTAATAACTCAATACCAAGCAAACAACAAAAACGATTACTGTAAAGACCAGAGAACTTGAAAAAGATTGACGACGCAAATATAATTTTAAAAGAAGACAAAATGGCAGGTACTCTATGGAAAAAAGCACGTGTGCTTGTTGAAAAGGGAACAGGGGGAAAAAAATGTTATGCTAGGCAACAAGGGAAATGCATGAACAACTTTATTTTTTTAACAAAAAAGAAAGATGTTTTAAAATAAAACGAACTATGAATCTCAGCAAATGAATGCTACCAATTAGCTATATATGACAATGAGCGTGCTCAACAAAAGGACTAATCCTCTGGAGTTCTTTAATCATAGGGCTGAAATTTAATTTCTTAAGGAAAGGTATTGAAATTTCTTTATGTGGGTTATACTAAAGCATTAGCTGACACAAAAGCCATTCAAAAGAGTCACATTTGAATAACTGAGCTTATGCCAGTTGTTCAAAGAGTCTGACAGTTTAATAATGCATCGATGTGTTTACTCAGGCATGAAAAGCTCACTTTGTTTTCCAGGAAAGGCATAACAGCAACAGCACAAAAACCATCACCAAATCCATACATTCAAGGACCGTTCAGAAATAATACAAGAAACCAAGTCAACCAAGGACTTAGATCTACAGTGAATAATAAGCTAGTTGTATGTCTGTGGAAATGACAACCCGCAAATCCCAACGTCCAACAGAAATCCTAATTTAATCCTAATCCTAATTTTAAATCCTAATTTAAAGCAAAGCAAATTTAAGTTTTGTTCTGCATAGTAAAAGCATCCTCAAAAAGAACCTATCACAAATACTACTTTATTCAACTGGGGATGCACACACCAGATGGAAAAGCAACCCTATCTGACAGCATCCCACAACGAAAACAGTGATTCCTCAGTCCTTCCCTCATTATCCTGATGGGATCTTAGTTTGGTGTCCAAATGCTTTAAATTAACTACATTCTATAAGATAGACACAATGCCTCTAAGACTGATTAAATCTTCAAGTTTTCAACTTCCGCAGATCGTCATGGAAGAAAACTCCCCAAGCTTATAAACCCTTCTGCCTTCTCTCTGAGATGAGCCAGGGCACATGAGGAACAATTCCTGTAGCCCTCTTGGCAGGATGCCTCAGCAGGGTGATCATGTGACGGGGTACACAGACACCATTCTTCAACCACACCATGTTGATTACAGCGCACTGGCCCACTTAGAGCACATTTTGTACAGTGACATGGAAAGAAACCCAAATTGCCTTGGCTTGCTTTGCTACACCACAGTCTTCTTATAGCCACCATTGTTTTTAGTAGATACAGAGTCTTTAATCTGGTTGAACAGAATGTTTCTTTTTCCCATTCTCCATTTCTGGCAAGATTCTTTTTCCTTCTCTTGATAGTGTGAGTTCCTCTCCCTTCTTCTTAGGAATTCTCAGTCCTAAGAGAGCTGTGTCCTTTGCTATCACTATATGGCCAATGATCAATTGTCCCCCACTGCCCAAATGTCCCCAT